TTAGTCTTGAAGTAGCTTCACTGTTTGGCCCTAATGGGAATCCTTTCTGATGACAAGACGGGTCTATCCCTTCTCACTTGTCACAGTCAATTAATTTCTATATTTCGTCCTTCCTCCTCTAAACTGCATGTCACGACCTTTACAACTATTCGCATATACTGCATATGGCTTTTTTTTGGCAATAGCCAATAGCCCCCTGTCTGTCCACAACAGATTCTGCCTTATTTTCATTAGCTCACGCTAGATCGACAATTTAGTCACCTCAACGATTATAAGCTTCACCGCCGCAAAATTTAATCCTCGTGTTCTGTTGGGCTTCCCCTTATCCAGTATTCCGAATATTTGCATTTTCACGAACTTCTGTGGCTTCTGGTTACTGACCGCTCTACACCTTGGGATATTGGTGTTGTTGAGGAGAACCTAGATTTCTAAGCTCTGCACTTTCGAAACGTGGGTATTTGCCGCAAATCTCAAGGCAAGCATACGACACTGCAGACATAAATAATGCTCTGTGGACGGTACATTTCATCTTAGAGCTTAATCGCTCACTTTTCAATGAAGGACATGCTCCAATAAATGTTGTGAAGGCATTGGCTTCGATCATTTCTGTATCTAATCCTCTTACCGAAAAATATACAGATGTTGTACATGACTAACGAAAGGGGTTCCTGTGTTAGTTTCCCAGGACTCGTCACGTGGGAATTTTGGTGGACACGAAGTGGCGCTAGGTCAGATTTTCTCAAAGTACTTCGATTTCCCCTGCCAGTCTTCGTTTCACCAATTGCTCTACAATCACCATCATCTACGATTGGCGCAATAAGCTACAAGTAGCCAAATGATCTGTCTCACCCCAATAAAAGTAAGAAGAGAAACCTGCCCAGATCCCGCCCCTTGGCTCCATTTCTCCCAACATCCGTCTTAACATTCTATTCGTATCCCCAAGAGATCCTTCAATTTAACCTACCAAAATGCCCTATGCATTCTTCTTCTGTGACTGACATGCCCTTGGTTCTTTACTAATGTCCTCAATACACCTAAGCCAACAGATCACGAATTTAATCCCCTAAAGATATCCTAATGCCGGTCACGGTATCCGAGTGGTCTAAAGCATGTACTGTCTTTGCTCGCTTGGAAACCGTGATCGTGGGTTCGAATCCCACTCAGGGCATGGATGTTTAGTTTGTGTATAGGTAGAGGCCTTGCGAAGAGCTGATCACCCGTCCCAGGAGTCCCACCAAATGTGTAAGATCTGGAAAAACCGAAGTGGAGTTGTTCATGGAGATAGGCGTAGGTCCACTTGGTCTGTAGTGCCACAACACACACTAGACCTTAGATTACTTCCTTGTTCAAAAGCTATTTGAGGTGTTACTTATAAGCCTTAGTTACTCAGTCTATATCACATAGATACGCAACATATCCCAAACGCCACCTCCCTAAATACAAAATTAATATTCCTTATGGCAAAGTGCATCCATGGACACCATCACTGGCGTTTAATTTGCAATTTCCCTTCCCCCGTATTTATTTGGGAATGCAACTTACAATTCAAAGCTTGCAGATCACACCACCTCATATTGAGCCAGCCTCTCCTCTTCCAAATCCCAACACTATTTCCCGCATTCAATTCTTTTTTTACATTTTTGTACCTAAATCTATCCCATCTCATTAGTAATCTTTTTGCCTTCTTACCTCGGCCAGTTCCCAGTGCACCAATATGATTACGTTCGTGAATTACCACTACAGCCCATATGAATTGCGAGATAAATGGGGGGGGGGGAGCCCTAATCACACCATCTCATTTTCAAGTACCTTTTGACTTGCATACTTCTCATGAAATGTACTGAACGGAGCAAAAACACACTACACAAATGTTTTGTGTTCTTACACCATGGCCCAAACTGAATATCTAAACAATCTCTATTGCAAATCCACTACATTTAAAATAAGACTCTCATGCTGAACACAACCAAATTAGATAAATTCTCAATATTATATTAAGGGAAGAAGAAAGAACTACAATAAAATTGTTGCACTTAAGACGGAGTTTGTCTCATATATATCATATATAGATACATTCTATTGATACCTGCGGTCTCAAACGAAGTCTCCTCGAAGTATAATCTCAGTATATTCATTGAACTCAGTGCCTGACATTGCTATGCTGCTACAGCTGACAGCTCATTACAAATTTAAATGCTGCAAACCCAAAGTGTGCACAGATATGAAGAGAAGGTGAAATAGTAAACCATACTAAATTGAAAATTATTACGAGGACAGGGTTCAGCCTTAGAGGGATCTGAACACAAAACAAATTCTATAAAAATACTATTTTACACATTAATGACAAAAACTTCATGCAAATCAACAAAAGTCCGCAAACTATATTACAAAATACACAGTGTGAAAACTGGGATAACGGGGAGGGTCCAACATGGGCTTTAAGCCTTTATTTCAATCCAAATGGTACATAGTACACACGTCCTTACAGCAAACACTGACCTTGAAGTAAGAATTACATATATTTCACTTACCTTTCATGTCAGTGTCATTACAACTAGGGCACCAAGATATGCATGGGCATATCTGGACAGAAACATTTTAACAAACAGCACCATACATCCATGAGATACCAGACTGAACTGCTGTTACCACGCTTCATTAAATCCATAAAAACAAAAAATTCAATGTCTTGCCACATTGGTTCAGAAAGACTGAGTGGAGCAGAAGACAACAAAACCACGGATTCATGTGTTCAACTTCCAACCGACCTGCAACCCATCTCAATTCTCTCTCTCTCTCTCTCTCTCCCTCCCTCTCTCCCTCTCTCCCTCACACACGCACACGCGCACGCACGCACACACACACACACACACAAGACACCTCCATGGAGAAGCCCCATGTCAGTGTGTAATGAATTTCCAGTGCTTCACAGAAAATGTCTGCTTCCATTCTGATGAACCTGGAGAACAGCAGGTAATCAGGTGTTCTAATCATGTATTTTGTCATGATCAGCATCATTTAACAGTTCCAGTACTTGTGTGTCAATGGTTATGCTTTGCTGATATACTCATACAGTGGTAGCTAGGCTCTCAGACAGACTTACACTAAATCCCATTTCTCTGATGATGTCAGGATGTAACCTGGTCTCAAGGGCCAGTACCATCCGTGTACCATCTTGAAACATAATGCAGTACTGGATACAAATATTTGTATCATCAGCAAATAACACAACCTTAGCCTCATGAATAGCTAGGAGCAAATGATTTATGAACAATAAAAATAATAGGGGTCCCAAAACAGAACCTTGAAGTACGCCTTGAGTGAAGAAGTAAATGTCTTTAAGTTAGAGGTCTTTTGATCCACATGTTGAATTTCAACAAAGTGAGCTCTGTCAATGAGATATGAACTCATCCATGCATGAATTATCCCTCTCAGCCCATATACATGTAGCTCCACTCATTCTTGATCTTGAAAGTGGATGGAAGTGAGTGGAGTGCATACAATGTTGGCCACTTCACTTACCCCCGCAGAAAGATCCCTCAGTTTTACTGGTTAGATCGCTGCGTGGGCCCTAGAAGGGGGTCTGGTCACTGTAGGAAAGACAACAATTTCTAGTGCTAACATAGATAACCTCACATTTGGATCACTACTATAAGAATTCTTTCTTTAGTTTTCAAAATGTCGATACAGCAGTGTTAAATGAACAATGAAAATAAATAAAGATATACTCCTTCAAGACTGTCGACGCTTGTTAGGCGAGCAGAGAAGCAACCTGTAAACATTTCTGTTATATTTCATCAGATCTTCTGTATTACGCATTAATATTTAGTTTTCGCACGTCAAAATTACTGTGTCATGATGGCACCACTGTATCTCATCATGTGATGTATCGAACTTCCTAAGTGGTAGGGTACATAGTCGCCAATCACATAGACTTATAGCCTTTTGTGAGCAATGACAAGTGGGTTAAAAGGCCCACATGCACTTTGCGACTCCATCTGTTTGTATCCTTGGCAACAGGCAGAACAAAATATAGAGACTGTTTCTGAAATTAACATATAAAATGCAACAAATTTTCACCAAGCTTATATTACGCAGTTGTGAACTGGGATGCTTAAGATGGCCAACCTGCTGACGTTCCCACAAACATACTGCACAATGCGATGCAATGTCAAACAGATGAAGTTCTCAGCGTGTGGTCCATGTATCATTTCAGAAGTCATGCACTCTCGATTTATTTAACAATGCCTTAGAAAGGATAAAATGGAAGGGACATGGGGAGGAACCACTGATGCCGGCAGGGGTGCGGACAAACCAGGCATCTCCAGCCCTCTATATTAAAAAAAAATCACAATTTTAAAAGGAGGATATATATCAAATATTAATACTAAAAAATAAATGCGTTTTTAACTATTCTGTCCTCAACAGTGCAGGGTGATTAGGGAAAACAGTCTTACGTTGCTTAAACCTCAGTTTGTGAACATATTTTCTAACTTCGCCTTCGGAAAACTGGCTGCCTTTGTCTCCTTCTAAAGAATCCTGGCAGTTCCAATGGACAGAACCGATGATAGCTGTTTTAAGGCCATGTAAGGGCTCCAATCCCGATGAGGTCATTAGATTTTTCATTTTACCTAGTCTTTCTAGCATGTTAGGATCAATAACAGTATTATATGAAGAGTACAGCTTGTGAAAATATGTGTTCTCCAGATGTGTATGGTGTGTGTTGAACTGGGATGAGGTCCTCACTGAACACCATACAGACCTTACTGACTGAGCTATTCCATAATAGTTGAATAACTACAAATATGTTGTAAATGTAATCAAAATTTAATAAATATTTGATACATTGCATAACTGTTTCTTCTTATTTCAATTTAAAGAGTACTTCTTCTTGTACTTACATTAAATTAAAAAACGTATTTTGTGCAGAAAAAGTACACCGTAACCCCAATTCAGTTTTCCTCAATTTTAGACTTTTCCTCTTTTAATGCTCACTTTTCAATATCCAAGATCAATAATCTCAATGATAAATTTCCTCTACTTAAGATCTTCCTCAGTGTACAAATTCACTGCTGCCCAAAGAAACCTTAAATGGGGGTTTCAGTGTAGTGACTTCATCTGTTAAGGTCACATGACTTACTGACAAAGGTTGTTCATTTCCCAAAACCTCCCCTACAAGCTGGACTTGGGGACACTTGTGTGCCTTCCTTCCACTGAGTTGGTGTTTTGGCCTGCAATGAAATTCAAGTATGTGACAGAAATATACAACAACAGGTACGGAAGAAAGCAAACAGAGATAAGAGCATTTACTGGATGCCAGAAGGATGATCCACATTCAGGGACACATCAGCGCAAGATGATTATTTTAGTGGCTACTTCATTTCAATATTAGTGTTAGCTGTGACGCCAAAATATTTGTACTTCCACATGGAAATATCTCACGGAAAAGTCTGAGCTTTCCATGGTCAACTAATTCCTGGTTCTATGCACTAGTCACAGTTGAAAATTTATGTGGCCTCCCTGTTCACTAGACTTGACACCAGTATAGACTTTTATGCGGATCTCTCAAAGTGTTCTAGCAGTAAGGTAAAGGTAAAGTTGTCTTTGTGCTTAACTAATTAAGCACTACACCATGAAGACACATGTAGTGGATGTATATATTGACCTCGGAGCTAGGTGGAGGTGAGGCGTCATCCTCACGCCCTGACCGCAGCTGTGGTCAGATATAAATTTGACCAGACTAATAAGCATGGCTGCTGAAGCCTTCTCACTTGACATGTTTCATCACATGACAAAAGATATAATCTATATGTGATGTTTATCAAATCACAGCTGACAGCCACACTGAAATGTTCATGTCGCTATTAAAACTTTCAGTACATACTAGACTATATATGGTATTAACAATTTAACAAATTTTGGCATGACCACCCCAAAAATTAAACAGCCTAAAATAATGTTCCTAATTCATGGCTGGGTACTGGCTATAAAGTTCCAGGACTAATTTTGTAAGTTAAAACTCAACTGTTAACTGCTGTTGTCTCTACAAAGCAGTTCCCTGTCGCAGATTTACACAAAGTTACTCTTTTCTAAAACAAGCCTGGAATGCCTCTTCTGATATCGCTTTTAGCATGACACTGCTGGATCTTCTGATCAAAAACATGCCCCTTTCAGAGAAGTCTATAGATGGGAACAGAAAGAAACCGCACATAGCCGCATCAGGAGAGTAGGGAGGATGTTCCACTTTCTGTGCCAGAAATTATCTCACCAATAACGCAGTGTGAGCTTTCACTCTTTAATGAAATATAGAATAACTTTCTGGGGTAATCATCTGGCAGCAAAAAGGTATTTACATTGCAAAAGAAAGACTCATGATAGGTGTCAAATCTCATAATTCCTGTAGAGATCATAACACTTCCATGTGAATATATATTTTCATTGACAAATTGATCTCAAATAATGAGGAACATTTTCAGACCAATGCAGATGTACAGTGTTAACACAAGGCACAAGCACTGTCTTCATAAACCAACTGTTAATCACTCATGCTTTCAGAAAAGCGCATATTACGCTGAGATCAAAATTTTCAACAATCTGCCATCTGATTTCAAAAGTTTATGAATGAAAAAGCACAATTTAAAATGGCACTAAAACGATACTTAAACATATACACATTTTATTGCGTTAATGAATACTTATAGTCTAAACAGTGACTCATCCATCTAAAGGCTGTGTAAATAACATAAGTTGACAGTATTGATGTATATATGTGTGGAAGTACTTTTGAGTCACCTCATGTGACTCCACTGCTTTTTCTTGGGTTTCCTGTGAAAGCTTCGGTTGTACTGTACATATGTTTTTGTATTTATATGTCATATTCCACATCGTACAGTCATCTTGACTAACTCTGGATCCAGGGGATGCAATGTAATAATATTATCATGTACCTGGAGCTGAGCCCTTCTTGAGGAGCTGCCAATTCTGCAGCTACTCAAGAATTTCCCAGCATTTCATGGAACCTGAACGTTCATTGCTGTGTTCACAAGAGCCCTCCACTGGTCCCTATCCTGGGCCAGATCAATCCAATCCATCCCATCCTATCTCTCTAAGATCCATTTTAATATTGTTCACCCACCTATGCCCTGGTCTTCCCAGTGGTCTCTTTCCTTCTGGCTTTCCCACCAATATCCTATATGCATTCCTCTTGTCACCTATTCATGCTACATTCCCTCCCCACCTCATCCTCCTTCACTTGATCATTCTAATTATACTTGGAGAAGAGTACAAGTTATGATTCGTGATAATTTTAAATAAAACCAATGGACTCTCACCAGAAAAGTGTAAAATCACACTGTTCCAAAACAGAGGTTTAGCATTCTAAGGATATATGTCTAAAGCGCAAAGGCCCAGTGATATCTGCATCACCCCTTGCATGACCTGGAGATTTATAAGGAGGAGGCCATGTTTCTTTTTTTTTTTCTGTGCCCAAGAATTAGATATTTCCTTGCATCTTCATTCTTCACTTACCACAACAGATAAAGCATGAACTCCATTCTGCAATTCTGACCTCAGAGCATCATTCACAAGCCTATGTCTCTGTAACAAAGGAGACAGAGTGTTGCTTTTTTATAGAACTCGAGATTTGCAGTTGTTTGTGAAATTACATGGCCTCTGTTCAGTTTAAGTTTAAGTTAAGGTTACAAGAAAAGCACCAACTGTCACTGTCCATGTAAATCATAGCTTTTTTTAATTATCATTCAATGATCCATTCAGGTACATAACCACTGGATATAGAAATTCTCAATAGATTATATTGATATACAATATTATTATATAAGATTGTCTTAACATGAGATAAATAACAATTAAAATTTATATAATAATCTAATTAATGCAAACTACAATAGAAAGCTATAATTACTGGGATACCCAAAGATCAAATTTATTATTCTTATCAAGATACTCTTAAACAGAATAAAAAGAGTTTCCTACAAGAAACTTTCTCAATTTATGTTTAAATTTATTAATGTCATGTGCAACTTCTTGCTATGGAAGGGCAGAGAGTTAAATAATGTAATACAGGAATAGTACACTCTTTTTTGAACTTTAGTTAGACCTACTAAAGGAACGTGAAAGTCCAATTTTTGGCGGGTACTCTAGGGGTGTAGTTTGGTATATCCTACTACACCAAATTATGGATTATTATAAATATAGTGCATATATTATTATTCTAACTTCTTTGTTTTTTCATTTTTAACTTGTGTATTATGCACTAAGATTCAGAATGAAATAAAGATTTACAATATTTTGAGAACAAGTAATAAAATGACAGACAAAAATTAAGATTAAGCATAGCTGCAAAGCAGTCCTTAACTAACTATTCTGTGATTTTCTTTATATTTATTCTGTTTATCAACATATCCCTCAATGTTATAGAACTCAAAGGTGGATAACCTTCATCACAGTGGCCTGTCACTGGACTATTCCTAAGCCAGTTCTATCTAGCAAGTCTGCCCATAACCTATACAGTCCAAAATCAATGATGTTACCTTCTCATTTCCGTCTCAGTATCCCAAGTGAACTTTTTCCACAAGTTTTGCCCATAAAAATTCTACACGCATTTTCTTTACATGTTTGTACTTGTACTTGTACTTGTTCAGCATATCTAAGAGTTAATTATTCTAAAGTTCCTTGTTACATAACTTTGTCCATTCCCTCATCACTTAAAACACTTTTTCTGCATATTATTTTCTCAGTAATTTCCAAAAATAATGCAATTTTAGGGTAAAAATATGGGAAAAGCAACATAATTGCATTTCTTATATATCAATATGTATATTGTGACCAGTGACACAACAGCTAATTAGGAGGTTATGATGCTGTCCTGCAATGAACGTTGATGAATTTGTTTGTTTGTTATACATGATGATCCCAAGGCCCCCCGTACACACCCAGTTTGGCCTTCCGATCAACCTTACAGACAAAACAGTTTACCCCCTCCCTTTCCTCCCCATACATGCGCAGATAAAGTGGCAGGCTTCATGCCACAATCACGGTCTTCCAGCCTATAATGTTGAGTCACACACGTCATGTGCTATGATCCTGCAGGCAGAACTGACGGACTGACAGGTTTCCCACAGGCCAACAGTCCAAACGATTGGCCGGCCGGCCGGCCGCACCACACACGTCAGTTTTGCCTTTCAGTCTTCAACTGTGCAGGCTGAACTAGAGGCCAAACTGTGTGTATGGGGGCCTTAAGACTGAAACATGTAGCACAGCAGTCATTTAGTAAATCGACTGGTATACTGATATACATGTCCTACTCAGTTATTTATTGAACATACTCTTCTCCAAATATAATTAGAATGATCAAGTCAAGGAGGATGAGGTGGGCAGGGCATGTAGCATGAATGGAAAGAGAAAAGGAATGCAAACAAGATATTGGTGGGAAAGCCAGAAGAAGATAGACCAGTGGAAAGACCAAAGCGTAGCTGAGTGGACAATATTAAAACGGATCTTAGAGAGACAGGATGGGATGGTATGGATTGGATTGATCTGGCTCAGGATAAGGACCAGTGGAGGGCTCTTGTGAACATGGTAATGAATCTTCGTGTTCCATAAAATGCTGGGAAATTCTTGAGTAGCTGCAGATTTGGCTTCTCCTCAAGGGCTCAGCTCCATAAGTAAGTTAGTAACCTCCTAATTAATTATTTTGACAGTCCCAATATACACGTTGGACAAAAATTCATTTCACAGCCTGGTGAACGAAGCAGAGGAAGGAAATAATTATTTCTTAATATAGACTGAAGCTGAACATACAGTATGGTAACAGATGCTTGTTTGACTTCAGTCAAACATCTCAGTAATAGGGTTCATCTCACATAGGTGGACCAGTAAAGGCGGACTACAAATTATACCTTGATTAGTGGCAGGTTGTCAAACTTATCAGAAACAACCACAACCTTGAAATGCGTTTCAGATCCTGGTGGTACATTATGCATATATGACTCATTAATGATATCAAGATGAACTGGATTGAGAGTCTCCACCAATTTTTGGCGAATAGCACGTTCCATAGGTTTGTTCTCTGGCACTTCTCCAGTCATTTCTGACTGCAGACTACATCTCTTTCTTACTGCTGAATGCAACCAGAATGACTTCCTTGAATGTTTATGAAACTGCAGGCCTGAAATTCAATAAGATCCATAACCTTTACTGGTTTTGATAGTAATAGTACTAGCAGATGTGCTTGCAACATGTCATCGCACAAGTTTCACATGTCAAGATACAATCAGTTACAACCCCTCCAAAATATTTAGTTACCAAACTGTTCTTTCCAATGTTGCTTTAACATTATGTACATAAAAATTACTAAAAGGGGCACGCAGTAGTGTAGTTGGTTGAGGCACTATGCTACAAGCCGGAAGGTCACGGGGTCGAATCCTGATGAGGTGGATTTTTCAATTTATCTGATCCTTCCAGAGCACTATGGCCCTGGGGTCAACTCAGCCTCTAACACACATGAGTACCAGGAATATTCTTGGGGGTAAAGAGCGGCTGGCGCGTAAGGCTGACAACCTTACCGACATCTATGAGCAACTTTTCTATAAAAACTGGCCCCGGGGTCGACTCAGCCTGTAACAGAAATGAGTACCAGGAATATTCCTGTGGGGTACAAGATGGCTGGCCGAATGTCTAGAAAATGTGGGAACCTCAACATCTCACAACCCTATGTGCCTCCACGGTCTGTTACAGGGATACCTTTACTTTTATCACTATTAAACCTTCTAAACGCTAGTCATATCTGTCATGTTTGTATTGCTGAGGGCAGTTAACATATACCAAGGTGCAGGAAGTCTTTGGTGTCATGTTCATACTGAATTTCTTGAAGACTCCCTTGGTGTATAGGTTGAATTATGGGGTGGGGCAGACATGTGGAGAGATTCATGCAGCTTACTAAGAAAGTGTAAAGTAAAATTGTGATCTTTCATAACCTTAGAGTGAATATATATATATTCAGTCACTGAGTATACAGACATCCGTTTTGTTCTCCACTATAATCCAAAATGCTTGTCTCCTTCATATCTCCTACATCAAATGTGGAAGAACTAAGTCCATGGAACAGGGTCTCTCTTAGAAACCCAAAGATTCCAGTCTAGAGATGGGGATGAGTTCTACTGAATGTTTCAAACTGAGCAGGCTTTTATTGAGGACAGAAACAGTCCAATCTCCTAAACGTTTTTAAATAAAAAATAAGGACAATGGATAATGACCAAAAAGTGAGTAACTCTAGCAAAGAACCCAGTCCATCCCCCTTCCATCCTGTTTATTTAAGATCCATTTTAATATTATCATGTATGCCTAGTTCTTTCCTTCAGGCATTCTCGCAGAAATTCTTAATGCATTTCTGATCTCTCCCATACATAACATCCTCCTTCATTTCATCATCACAATTCCTACTTGAACTGGGGAACAATAAAACACGAAATTACCCGAGGGTCTGTTCTAAAGCCTTTGCTTTTCATAATCCACATAAATAACCTTCTTCTGATAATAAATACCCCCAGGCCAAAGGAGCCACACATGTCAAAGTCCAAGGTCAAAACAATGTTGATCTGCTTTTTCGATGTCAGAACTTTGAATCTGTACCCAAAAGGACCACTGTTAATTCGACGTTATCCGTGGAGGTGTTGAAAAGGCTTATTGATGCTATGAGGTACAAGCAAGCAGAGTTGTGGAGAGATCACTCATTGATTCTTCACCACAACAATGTGCTGGCACATTCTTCACTTTTGATGTCACAGTTTTTAGCAGAAAAGGGCATCTCCGCCATGGATCATTCAACGCACTCTCAATATGATGGAGAGGATATTAAATCATTGGTAAAACGAATTGGAGGGAGATTACTTTGAAAAACTCTAGGTTCTTAATATCTGCATATCTTGAAATACATTTCTGAAAAATAAGCCTTGAAATTTATTTGCTGAAATAAAAATTTTCGGAGATATTTTTCCATAAGGAACATCTCTTTATTACCTCAAATATTTATGAAGTTGCTCACTAAGTCCTCCACAACCCTTCTCACAAGCCTAATGCATGATATTTAATTGGGGGGGGGGGGTTGAAATTCAGGTAATGGGCTCGCAAATGCTTCAAATATAGTATTACAAACCTTGCTTCCTTTGTAGATCAAAATGTTCCACTGACTATATGTTCAATTATTTATTGGTATACTGGTATCCCTAGCAACAAATCAGCATTGCATATATGAAAACTGTAAATATTACACAGATGAAAAGCGGACTACAACCGTTGTTTAATTATATTTAAATTACAAAGTTCAGAACGGCTTCTGATCCCATAGATTGGATTAAGTAAAAGTGGCTTAATCTGTTACGGCCTTCTCCGTAATTAAACTTTCATAAAACACTTGATGACTCCTGTATGAATGAATGATCATGAATAACGAATGGAAAAGTATTTAAATACCATTTCTAGTCACTTAATCCAACATAACCTTTAAGTTTCATACACTATTACATATGAACATGCTTACCAGGGCTACATTTCGAGAACAGTGAAAACATTCGTCCTAATTTGAAACCACTGATGGGGGCATACTTTAACCATTCCATTCCTGGAATCAGAAGTAGGTAAACTTCAAATGGTAAAATTGATCTTTGTTAGAAACAGAGCACAATCATATCTTCTACGTTCTACTACTTCCACGCAGTTATCTTAAACTTGTATTCTCATTGGTTCATTGGCTCAAGTAAGCTGTCATATCATTGGTTCAAATTAGTGACATCTTGGATGCGTATTTGAAATTATTGTTCTTAACAAAAATTAATTACAGCATGTGTTTTAATTCCCTGCAGTACATGTTTCCTTCTCTGTATTTCATTCGCACCATAGTCCCTTGTGTTAGTCTTTATTTTCCCGTCTTTTGAAATGTTTTCTCCGTCAGATGACAGACTTCTGTGGTCATTAGCCAGCACATATGACTGAAAAAATTCTTTTACTTCATATTTTTTGATCCCATATTCACTATTCACGCCTGAGGGGTGAATTCATTATTTTCTTGGTTTCCAATGCCTCGCAACCAAGCAGTTCATAGAATTTTCCTCAGGTTTGTTCTTCTTTGAATGCACTTTATAAAATGAATTTTCTGACTCCTATTTTCTCTCTGTAGTCCAATATCATACATTTCTGCAGTGATTTGCCTACCCCGACATAGCAAGATGCCATTAAGTACAAAGAGAAAACACAAAATGAACGAAAACGTACGTGAAAAATCTGTGAATGACAATTTGTTTAAAACACTTCCTGATCAGCCCGTGCATGATGTTTCGCTAAATTGGGGGCAGAGTCCAGCTTGGTCCACTCAGCACGGCGGCCACAGATTGGCCTATTGTACCTTCCCTGGGTTATGATGATGGAGTATTTGGTGGAATGAAGATTGGCAGGGGAAACCGAAGTACTCAGAGAAAACCTGCCCCAGTGCCACTTTGTCCACCACAAATCCTACTTGACCAGACCTGGGATCGAAACCAGGCCACCGTGGTGGGAAGCCAGCGACTAACCGCTTGAGCTATGGTGCAGCCACGCATGATGTTTCTTTGTAGCACTGCTCCATGAGTAGAAGACCAAACATGAATGAACCATTCATTTACCTTTGTTAGCAATGTACAGGCTGAATTTTGGTGTTCACCAGCCTTCATTTTCATTCACATAATGCATACCCACCTTTACATGCCCTCAAAGATATGATGAAATAGGGAGAATGCTCATCTTGAGCAGTATAGACACTATTGCCCAAGTGGTTCTTGGACAAAAAATATGAAAATGCCAGGACTTGCACTGCTATGATTGTTTACTCTTTCCAAAGATGCTTTTCAGACAGTGGCATACTATGTTCCAGTTAGATTCAAATTCTAACCACATTTATATATTATTTTCTATACTTAAACCTAACCCTACCAATTTTTAACCAGAATAACTCTTACCTAGTATTTTGTAATGGTTTTGCAAGATGAATCACAGACATTTTTTCATATACGGTATATTCTATGAACATTCAAACAGAATGCCTATAAACTAAAGCATTAAACACACGGTGACAGAAATCATCCTCTTCACCCCAACTTCCACTATCTGGTTATGGCTTTGACTGGGCCCTATAAATTTCTGTCAGAAAGTGAGATCCTAGTACTGGAAGTGATATGGTATTTATAACTCAAGTGTAATGATTGTTGACTGTCAACATATAAAATAATTCAAATCCAAACTTAGAAACTAAAGTAATCCTAATCTATCTGGCAGCACTTCTCCTATACTAGATGTAATGGGATCATCAGCATGACTCTTGTCAAAAGTTCTGTTTGACAAAACAGTGCATTGTGTAGGAATAGCAGTCAAAAATGTTGAGATACATTCGCCTCCCTTGGGGTTTGACTGCCCCAGTGATATTACTCCTTCCCTTTTTTCACTATTAATACTTATCGTGATAACAAACTGTTAAGGAAAACATTTAAACTTAACTGAGATAAGTGGTGAGGCACAAAAGAGGCATTTGAAACACAAACAGGGTGGAAATATCACCATCTCATAAACTGTTCAATAAAGGCCGCTTACAATGTTGTTTGTATTTTAGTCCTTAATCAACTTTCATACTTCTCTAAACAGTAGGCCTACATAAATGTACAGTGTGTTCAGTTAAGGAGGAAACTTCGCAACACCGCTCACACGGCCCAACATTCCTCACAGATTGCTACTGTAACTGCTGATAGCAGAATGAGTCATTAGCGCTGATGAACGCGCGCCGTTACAGTTACAGTTACAGCAGCAATCTGTGAGGAATATTGGACCCAGTCAACGGTGTTGTGAAGTTTCCTCCTTGATTGAATGCCCTGTATTATGGGGAAGTTCATGTTTACCTCTTCATCTCTGAAATTTCATGAAATTTGGTATTGATGGTTTACACTGACAGAAAAAAAAAAACCTGTAAGAGGCCAGGAAGGCCCATAGGGTTGTGAGACATTGAGGGTCCCACATTATCTTGACAATCGGCTCAAAGATGGTGGTAAGGTTGTCAGCCTTATATGTTGGTGGCGCTTTACTCCCCAGGAAAATTTTTTAATTAATTCCTCATACTCATTTCTGTTAGAGGCTTGTCAAATGAAATTCATTAAGTTTGTTAACAATCCCATTTCATATTTTATATGTAGCTCAAACTGAATTTTATAGAAATTATCAAAAATGGCACATCATTAAGAAAAAGAAGTTCTGAGAACTTTCCCTCGATAAAACACGAGCCACATGGGAATCAACGTGTCCACCAATTCTTTTACTGTTGTGTATTCCTTATTGCTAAACACAGAGGAAATGGTGGAGGGGCTATTTTCGTTGTGGTCCAACCCAAAGTATTATATATATATATATAGAAGGCAACTCAAGTGGTCTGAAGGCTCCCAGGGCCACCAGACAGTAAAATATGGTCATGAGTCCTGTGGGACTCAAATGACTGTGCTAACCTCAAAAGTTAAGGGGAGATACATACACACAAACTGCAAAGTGACCTCACCAGCCTCCTATTATATTTTTCAAATATGGATAGTATGACTTTTATATGGTATATGTACATCTAATGAAATAAAAAGAGAAATATTTGTCTATGCAGTAAAGCATCTCTGGTATTCAATAACTGTGAAATAACCAGACAGTGTCATAACCCAAAGTCTGTGTAGCTGTCTTGTCACCAGAATGCAGGACAAAATCATGACATAAAGATAGCTAATAGATGCTTTTAAAATGTGGCAGTTCAAATATTTGGGAACGACAATAAAAAATCAAAATTTAATTCAAGATGAAAATTAAGAGGAGACTGACTCCAGGTAATGCCTACTACCATTCAGTCCAGAACCTTTTATCTTCGATTCTGTATGGGTGTTGAACTTTGTCTCTGATATTAAGGGAGGAACACAGATTAAGGGTGTTTAAGAACAGGGTGCTGAGGGGAATATTTGGACCGAAGAGAGATGAAGTGATAGGAGGTTGAACAAAACTGCATAATGAGGAGCTTCACATTTTGTACTCTTTACCAAGTATAATTAGAATGATCAAGTCAAGGAGGATGAGATGGCCAGAGCATGTAGCACGAATAAGGGTAAAGAGGAATGCATATAGGAAATTGTTGGGAAATCTAGAAGGAAAACCAAGACATAGGTGGGAGGATAATATTAAGATGGAAATAGGATGGGGTGGTATGGACTGGATTGATCTGGCTCAGAACATGGCAATGACGCTTCAGGCACAATAAAATGCTGGGAAGTTCTTGAGTAGCTGCACAACTGGCAGCTTCTCAAGAAGGGCTCGGTTCTGCGAAGTTAGTTAATTTAGTAAGGTCTGGTTAAACTCTTACTTTATAAAGATTACAACTAATAATATTTCTAACAAGGAAATAATTGCCAGAAAAGACAGGATATGAAACAACATGTTGGACCACAGAGTTTACTTTACAATATCTTGAGAGCTACAGTTCTTATGTCTATTATGAATTTCTTGCAATGTATCAAAACAATATAATCAAATCTGTTTATCAGGAATTCATCTTCAAGTGCCATGCAGGACAAATTCCCTATACAGAAAATATCAATTCAGTACATTAAAGCAAGTTAATCACCAGCAAACATAAGTGTAGCCACCTATAAACCAGAATAATATGTGATAACTTCCCATCTGACAGACAATTCCAAAATCATGTATATTTACCATGTTATAACAAAATTTAATGGTACCAAGGTACAGTGCTGTGAGCAGGGGAAATGGATTTTGGGATTGTGAAACTGTTTGTATGGCCATCACTTATGTCATGGTGTTGGCCAGTATTTCTGCTTCATAGTCACGAGGTACCAGGTTCAAATTTCAACCTGGAGGCCTAGTATTCTCACTGACTTGTCCATCAAGACAAACTCTAATATAATACTTAACCCATTCAATTCATTTCTGAGACCAGTTCATCAATGACAGAAATCATGCTGCACTCTGATATCTGACTCAGTGTCAGAAACACAACAAATTTTAAATGCAATAATATGGTAACAGTGGCAGCAGTAGTAACAAAATAATTCAAACTGGAATACTGGTCTTTCTGGGTCCGAAGTATTGAAACAAACGATAAAAAGCTAAAAATATATTTTTTAACTCAAATTTGTTTTAATGATATTGATTCTGCTTTTGGGGTTTTTGTGCCATGTGGCTGTGGGCAGAGTTGGCAACATTTCCAAGATGCACACTGCCCCCAAAACACTGGTAACACTACCCATCTCCACACGGTGCAAAGACCCAAGAGCAGAATCCACATCACCAATGAACCACCTTAAAGCCTTAAACCAGTAAAATGAATCCTCACTGCTCACATTGTGATTCCATGCAGTATTTCCAAAAGCATGGACATACACCCATTTGACAGTTTACACAATCATAAATTGTTCTATATTATATTTAAGCATCCTGTTGCACTCTACACTTCTATATGTATAATATAAATACCATTGTAAATGCAACAATTTATTGTAGTTCTTTGTCTTTCTTCTTACACACTACATGTTTCGGCCATAACTGGCCATCATCAGGTGTATTTCGTTTACGTAGCTGTTACACTGTATGTAATTTAAAATTTAAAAATACCAGCTTTCTCAATTGTCATTGCTGCGTTTCAACTGGTCCCAATATACCAGAATGCTCTTGCTGATTTGTCAGTTATGTTTAAAATCTCTGTTAATATAAATTCGTCGATTTAATTTTTTTTTAATCACAGGGATACCTGCTCTATGTGTACATGTGCCACAGCAGCCACTTCTTACTTTCAGCACTGTTCACGTATTATTATGTACAGGTTCCCTGTGCGTGTGTGTGTGTGTGTGTGTGTGCGCGCGTGCATGTGCGCCGCTGTTATCTTTAATAGGTTTGCAAACGTAGCCACTGCGGCACATGTAGACATAGAGCAGGTATCCCTGTGATTTAAAAAAAAAATATTTAAATTTAAATCAATGAGTGTATATTAACAGAGATTTTAAACATAACTGACAAATCAGCAAGGGAATTCTGGTATATCAGGAATGACTGAAATGCAGCAATGACAATTGAGAAAGCTGGCGTTTTTAAATTTTAAATTACATGCAGTGTAACAGCTACGTAAATGAAATACACCTGATGATGGCCAGTTACGGCCGAAACATGTAGTGTGTTAGAAGAAAGACAAAGAACTACAATAAATTGTTGCATTTACAATGGTATTTATATTATACATATAGAAATAAATTGTTCAATTATGCTCCATGCAACTTGTAACCTTTTCCTGGCCAGAATTGTTAAGCCTCATCTTTAGATGTTCTAATTCTGTAGCTGAAAGGTACATCTATCTTTTATAGGACAAACACACAGATTTCTTGCCAACAGGAGCCAGAATTCATAATGGGAAATATCTGGTCCCACAAGATAACAGCAGAATCCAGCCGTTCAGAATGGTCAGGACAAGTAGAAGGAAAAAGAGCTATTTCAGCCACTTAGAAGTATGTTGATTGGTTGAATAGGTGCATTCATTTGATCACTCTTGCTTGCCTGTCGCATATGCATGTTGGAGCTCTCAACTGGCTTGTCATTCCTGTGTTCACCACAGAAGTTTCCTTCTGCTGATGACTGGGGCATGTTGACATGTATACTTCTGTTTTTTTTCCCATATCAATGCAGTCAAGTATTCCTTGTGCTAGTTTACATGTCAGTGGGTTTCAGTTTTTGTGTTGTATGTCCAAAGTCATGTGAATGACCTCGTGGTTAGGTCAGAGAGTGCCAAATAAAGTAAGAAATATAATTATTCATATAAAATTTATGAAGCTTCCAAATGTGTAATGGCTAAGCAGAAAAGAAATAATATAAGAAAGTAAATACATTAAAGATATATTTGTTACATGCAGAAGTCATAACACTGTATAAATATAGACTTGCACATTAAATAAAATACAGTCATATAAGCAAAGAAATCTAACAGAAATGATAAAATAAATTGCATATGAAAGATTTAGGCAAAAAAAAAAAACATGTGATTAAGACTATGGATTAAAGAAACAATGTAAAATACAATAAAAAAAATATTTATCTAAATTATACTGGTTAGCCCAAAACTCCCTATGGGGTCTGAATTTTATTTTTATTTCTTACAGACCTTGGAAATTTGTGTAAAAGTGTAGAAGCCCATCAGCAGAAAAACTGTAGAAATTTACGTCAGCAACATCTGCTTCATTGTGCTGAATTAAAGAGCTTATCATCTTACTATCATATTGAATATTGCACGATAATATTTTTAGCAACATTTTAGGAATGTTGTAAACAGTTTGGCAATATCACCGATACTATGACCTATAAGGGAGGCCATGTAGTTGATACTACCAACATTTCCAATGAACATACAACACAAGAAATTATAAATACAATGCACGGATATGGGGGGGAGGAAAAGGTAAAGCTATCCCTATAACAGGGCGTGAAGGCCTATAGGGTTGAGAGACCTCGAGGCGTTCAACATTTTCCAGACAATTAGCTCACAGATGGCGGTAACGTTGTCAGCCTTACGTGCAAGCCACCCTTTACCCCTCAGGATGATTCCTGGTACTCATTTCTGTTAGAGGCTGAGTCAACTCCAGAGACATAGTGCGGCTAGAAGGATTAGGTCAAGTGAAAAAAATCCACCTCTTCAGAATTCGAAACCATGACCTTCCAGCTTGTAGCATAGCACCTCAACCAACTACACTACCGTGTGCCCCAATATGGAGTATGGTAGCTAATTAAAGTTTCCGTAGATCGTCTTTCCATATTGTCCGTCTGCACTGAAACCACTTACAGCTGGCCACGGCAAGTAGCCGCAAAAAACACTGGCCTTGTCTCTCTGCAGAGAACAGGAATTCACTTACACTCCTTGGGTCCAGTATTTGCTGAAGGCCAGCAACTTCATTCTCAAGGAGGTTTTCATTGCTTTTGAGTATAATGTGACATGGTTTAACAAGAGAAGCCATCTGGTGCTACAAAACAACTGGTAAACAGCTGGGTTTTCTGCCAACAGATATGCAAATAACAGAGAAACTGTTGGAAACGGTGTTCTCTATTGGGTCCGTCCCAAAGGTATACAGTAAGGATGAACTAGAAAACATATTCAGTTGATAATGTGAGGGAGCCACCACCATCAGCTGAGTACTTAGCGACAATGGAAGCAGAGGACATTTCTGGGACCTGTTACCAGGCAATGACTGGTGAAGAAACAGCAGAGGGGGAAGACTTAGCATGTGTTGTAGCGAGAAGTCAAGTATGTGAATTAGCAACAGTACTAAAATTACTTGTAGTTATGGTTTGCCAAGTGTGAAAAAAGCAATTACCAATTCAGACCACATGCCTAAGTACAACCAAGTGACAATATGATGACTAATTTAGACAGCAATATTTTGTGATGAACCAATCATTGTGACCCATCTGTATGTGGGTTGGTATAGTTCGCTTGAGGACTACAGGCCACAGAGTAAGTGATATCTGTATGTCAAGTTCTGTTCTTTCCTCCTTTAGGTACTGCTGGTAGTAGCAGTCTGACTCCACCAAATATACCGAATACTTCATATGTAAAACATCAGAAGAATGTGCACTAATATGAGCAGAGTGCTGTGGCCATCTTTGACTTCTCTGTCATGCCACATTTGATTTATCTGAACATCATCTTCTGATATGTCATGTGCAGATTCAAGATCAGAATCATACAAAGTTAACTGTTCTGTAGTATCAGAACAATTACAAGCTCTTCAATCCTCAAATATTACAGATTTTGTCATGGTGTTAGCCATCAGACTACTCATTTTGTGACACAACAAACTGAAGTCCTTAAGATACTAAATATTTCATGCCATCAGTTCACTGCTGTTGGTCCAACAGGTAACACACAAAGAGAAAAAACCTCCATGGTTTTAGTCTGCAACTGAACTATACCGACCGAGCAACCGCCGATTATCAGGGAAGTCAGTGCCAACTTTAGCGGATAGAGGGTGTCGTGTGGCAGCGCAACAAATCCCCATGGCCATTAATTTCGGTTTTCTAGACTGGAGCCGTTATTTCCTTGAAATAGCTCCTCAATTATCCTCATGATGCTGAGTGGACCCCGTTCCAGACCCACTACTTCTCAGGAAATCTGGTAGCGCCAGGAATCGAACCCGAGACCTCTTGATCTGTATCCAGGAACTCTGACCACTAGACCACGGAGGCAGTCAACAGGTAACACAGCATTTGTATAAATAAAGTGGACCCAGCCTGTACGTGCCAAAGTCAAGGATTTTTGGACTAACATCACATGGTAAGAGTACTAACAATTTCTGTGGCTCATACACTAACCAGGCATACAGCGTAAATCACGTTAATATGATTCTGTGCCATTCACGTTCCTTAAACTAACATATCATAATCTGTATATAAAACAAAATCATATATTTCACACTCAGATACACAGAGGAAAAAGTAGAAGTTCATTATGACCTCACACTTGTACAAGAACACAATAATGGTACTTTCTCAGATCAAAAATAATGAATACTAACAAGATCACGCACAAGAAAATTCTGAAATCAGCTTTCCAGGCTCTTAGAAGACTCAAGAGACAAGAAATGCATGAGCAAACACATGTATATTATGACAATCATACAAGTGATCAGTTACTCACCAGCCTGCCTGCACTTAACAATAAAGACAGCTGCTCTGTCCACCACTGCTTTCTGGCATGTTAGGAAATTACTTTTAACTGGAAATGACTGTTCAGAGATCCTATTGTTTGAGGCTTATGTCGGCAGGCACTTCTGGATGGTAACATAATGTTCTTACTGGCTGGTTTGATGATATCTCAGAGATCTTGTGTGTCTCCATTTTCAAGCCGAAGTCACTTCTGATAAAGACAGTCAAGTTCTCTAAAATATCACACCAGGCAACAATACCACAGTATTATCATCAAAGTGTCAATAGAAGCCTTAAGAAATCACCAAGAAAACCTGAGATAACTGTCTATCTCCGTGTTGCGGCATGACTTGTGGTTCCAGAAGTGGTGATGATTGCACATCCTGCACTGAAGACAGACCAGAGGAGGAGGCTGGGTTCAACGTGAGATACCAGATATCGAAGACGATCCAACAGCATCTTGAGCCATGGAGCCACCTGTGATCCTGACACCGAGTCCTCTCGTTCTGATGCTCCACTTAAGACTTTCATGTGACGCAGGAAGTCAAGTAATGGTGGATGATCACGCGAAAAAATCGGAAAGTATTCACTGACTTTTTCCCGTGTCCACCAAGGATCAGACCACCTACAAAATAAGCGCAGTAACCTATTACACCACAAATTACTCAAGAAACCAGAGTTTAGCAGTTTCTAACTGTATTATTAGAAAGACATATTAATATATAGGACAGAAACATGGACATGCATTAAGGGATCAGATAATAAAGTAGAAATGAATTTGTATGAGTATTAAGAAACAAACAAGATGAAGTTAGAGTTGAAATTATTATGAAAGATCTTGAAGGTATGAGAAAAACTGGTGAAAGTAAAGATAGGTATGAACATGGATAAAAACATTCATTTAAGAGAATAAAAAATGAAGATGGCAAACACGTAACCACTGGGCAGAGCAAGAACTAGGTGACGAGACCAAGGAAGATGCAGAAAACAGAGTACAGAAAGAATAAACACATCATCAAAGGAGCACTTATGGGTTGAGAAGAGGAATACGGAAGGCTTTGTCACAAGATGGTGATTACCAGGGCCCGGATTTTGATGACATATCATCTTTTTTTTTTCTTGTATCCTACGCGATGCTCTTAAATATATAAATCTTGGATATGAACTGCTGGTTATAGAAATGTAAATTTTATGGGTAATTTTTTGTCATTTTTTCATTTTGGGGGTAAATTTTTGGACTTTTAAGGGTATTTCTTGTCATTTTTGGCCATTTTTAGGGAATTTTTCTTATGTTTTCTGAAATGTGAATAACATGGAAGCAAAGTGTTCTTTCTTTTCTCCTTTAGGTCATTTTTCTGGATTTTTCGGTCTTTTTTTGAATATTTTCAGGTCATCAAAATCCGGGCTTTGCATATTACATTTCTGGGTAATTTTTCTGGACTTTTTTTGGTCATTTTATAGGTCATCTTTTAAATATTTTCAGGTCATCAAAATCCGGGCCCTGGTGATTACAGACCAACAGACTACTTGCCGATGAATAAGCGTGAATCACAAATGATTCAAAGAGCATATTGGTGTAGCCTATTTGATGGTACTATTCTGGCACTCTGTGACAGACAGGAGAAACCACAAATAATTCTATCACCTACCGAGATTCAAAGGTTCTTCTGGAATTCAAGTCTGACATATCACAAAAGCAGGCCTCACACACATACACAATTATATCCTTGTGCCAATGGGAGAAACCACTGCAAAGTCCTTTGCCTTGGCCAAAATCCTGACCTGCAGTTTTCTTCTCAACAGAGCAGTTATAAATTCACATAAGCAAAAATATACTATCTACTGTGCCAATATTACATTAACATATCATTAATGGATCTATGTAAATGACATTCCAAGTGGGTTGAAAACTGGCTGTGGAAAAAGGAAAAATATACACAATCAAGCAGGTTTTAGAGGGAGAATAACCTCAGTACTGAAAGCTAACAGTTCCGACAAAATCTTAATCTGTCCGGAAATAAAAAAATAAAAACTGAGGTTAAAATTTCTAGAATAAATTAGAACAAATCCCGATTAGGAACACAAATTTATCTCTGCAGATTGTGAATGCGATGGTCTAAAATAGTTTAAAAATCTGTGTATACAGCTGCCTAAATTCTAACCAAAACGAACCTGCATGAAGTCGGTTGATATCCCAATTGTGAAATGCATGTTTCGACTGAAACAGACACCGAGTAATAACTTTCTTACCTCTGTGACCATGGAGAGAAGTGATAATGGTAGAGGCTGGCTCTGATATATTTGGGAGGCTTATTTGGAAACGGATTTCGTGATGTATCAAGCAGACGCAGTACTTCAGGTTGACCCTGAAGAAGTCTGTAAGTCAGACTCAGAATCCATGGATTTTGGTGATATGGACTAAGGGAAGCAAACCACATTTGCCAGTCCAAACGTGGTTGATGAGGTGCTGTAAAAGAACAAGGACCAGTTAATCATAACAAAGATTTCTGAGAACTTATTGTTTTGATAGTGACACTTCCTGAACGTGGACTGCACCCTGTATGTTGGTTGCATTAAAATGTTTGATGCCCTGAGAACAGAAGAGAAATGCATATAGGATATCGGTGGGAAAGCCAGAAGGAAAGAGGCCACTAGGAAGACCAAGGCGTAGGTGGGTGGACAATATTAAAATGGATCTTAGAGAGATAGGATGGGATATGGATTGAATTTATCTGGCTCAGGATAGGGACCAGTGGAGGGCTCTTGTGAACACGGTAATGAACCTTCGGGTTCTATAAAATGCTGGGAAATTCTTGAATAGCTGCAGAATTGGTGGCTTCTCAAGAAGGGCTCAGCTCCATGAGTGAGTTGCCTTAAATGTAATTTTCCTAATACATCGGACATGTGTGTCTTGAATATCTTTTAGATGCACTCCATTTTTTCTGTTTGTGAAGGTTAATTAGTGTTATCAATTAATTTATTTACTTACTTACTCATGGAGCTGAGGCCTTCTTGAGGAGCTGCCAATTCTGCAGCAACTCAAGAATTTCCCAGCATTTTATGGAACCCGAAGGTTCATTACCATGTTCACAAGAGCCCTCCACTGGTCCCTATCCCAAGCCAGATCAATCCAATCCATACCATCCTATCCTATCCTCTCTCTCCAAGATCGAAGATTAATTTCTTTGGGGGAAAAAAATTGATCATGACATGAGTGGAAGATGAGAAACAAGAAGTGCAAGGTTGATATTAGTCAAACTAACCAACAAACGGTGGTGTGGAGTTGACATTGCCTGGTTTGTACAAGAAGTTGTATTCAAGCCATGGTCCATCAATATGGTTACTGCCCTCTAGGATAACCTCTGGGCGTCCTCCAATACCCGTCATCCTTCGGAAGAGGCCATATGCATTGGTCAAGTGCAGATGGTCTAGACGTGAATGCCAATGACGCAGGGCAGGGACGACGGTACTGTTACCAGCAGGGTGAAGGGTTGAGTAGGGAACCTGCAAATATGATTTACAGCATTCCAGTGTTACTCTGCTTATGGACAGTGACATACATACATAAAATATTACCTTTCACTAGAAGAAAAGAGCTTTAAGAAGCCATACACACACGCATAAAGGGTGTCCAGATGACACGTATCCAAAATAAAATAAGTATATCTCAGAGATCTTTTATTACACACATTTATGGGTTACACCACTACAAAGGGAAACGATCAAAGTTTTTTCTGAGCATATGACTTTCTGAATAAATTTCAATGTGGGCTCTCTTGGTGAGACAAGAAATATCCAGACAATATTCGACCTCGTTCCACTTTGCTTGAAGCATGTTTGGTGTTACCAAAGCCACAGTGTCCCTTATGCAGGCTTTCAGGTGTTGAAGCTTGTTGATCTTAACCTGGTAGACAATGTTCTTCACATAAACCCACAAGATAAAAGTTCAGTGAGGTTAAGTCTGGCGACCTAGGAGGCCAAGAGATTGATCCACTTCTGCCGATCTATCTCCCAACCATCACTCTGTCCAGGTGATTCCTAACATGGTGGCAGAAATGTGGGGGTGCATGGGCGGAAGCCGAGAATTGAAAAACAAATTACAGGCTTTTCCTTTCCGATGACATAAACCTGATATGTGTATGACAATTACTTTCCGATATATAAATTTTTTATTTTGGATACGTTTCATCTGGACACCCGATATATATATATATATATATACATACATACAGAGAGAATCTCAAACAGCTAAATATTTACCCTCTTCATCTACTGTCTTATTCATTAATAAGGGATGAATGACCATCTCCCATTCATTTTAACTTAGATTCTTCTCCTTATGGAAAGGACGGCTTGTAATATTAAAATGTCATTCTCTCATCTTAAAAGCTTTTGAAACAGTAGACAGAAACTAAGAAAACCTTGCATGAATGACATTCTATCGGAAACCATTAACATTTTCGTAATTTTTAATATGTTATCAACATAAACACATGGTATTACTAATTTATCTCCATAATTATTTCATATTTACAGCTGCTATGATCAATTCTCAAAGCTATCAAACAGAAAAAGAATTTGCCCAACTGGCATCTTTTTATTTTGTACTCCACTGAACTCCGCAGTACTGAGTTTCCTTAAGCAAGAGGGTGAGTGATTCACCTATCAAAAATATTCCATGTTCAAGTCTAAATGAGTCCACAACTGCACACCCTCGTAAGCCAGCTGCATCTGGTCAACACCTTCTGACCATCCTTCTCCATTCTACGTCGACTTCCAAGCAGTATTTTTCGCTCAAAATTATCTGACACAGATTTTGTAAAAATTTCTCATTTCTCTTCCAAGGTATTTTTACATGTTCTACCCACTTCACCTTTTACTTAACCATTTGAATATATTAAGAAGTTCCCAATATAAGCTACTTACTTACTTATGGAGCTCAGCCCTTCTTGAGAAGCCAAATCTGCAGCTACTCAAAAATTTGCCAGCATTTCATGGAACCCGAAGGTTTATGACCATGTTCACAAGAGCCCCACTGGTCTCTGTCCTGAGCCAGATCAATCCAGTTCATACCATCTCATCCTGTCTCTCTGAGATCCATTTTAATATTGTTCACCCACCTACGCCTTGGTCTTCCCAGTGGTCTCCTTCCTTCTGGCTTTCCCAACAATATCCTATATGCATTCCTCTTCTCCCCCATTTGTGCTACATACCCTGCCCACATCATCCTAATGTAAGCTACAGGATGTTTAAAATACATTATGAGCAATACTCACAATGCTGATACCAAAGATGAACACTGCAACTATGGTATAAAAAAGGGTGGTTAAGATGGCTGAAATCTTGGCGAAGGTTCCAGGAATGTCTGTAATGGATACAGCCAGAGCTTCGGTCAATATTGGCACCAAGGCACTGAGACCCAGATACACAGAGCCGGGAACAAGAAACGACAGCAACCAGTCAAACTCCTGCTTTGTGAATGCTGTAAACACATAACAATTTAATTACAGTATCTTTATTCTTCTATCTTGAAGATGCAGAACATTAACACCACATCAAGACCAGGTCTGAAACACACCAAGCTTCCTATGCGCAATCTGGCAAGATAGGAATATTCCTGAAACTTTAATTTCAGACCCCACATATACCTTACACACGGAAATACAGTATCACATTTTGGCTAAGAAGAAACTTACCTACATCACTCTCAATGTGTGAAGGGGTTAGTCTGACTGAAAACATGGCGATAGTAGTATACAATATTCCTCCATATACAAGGGCATTCACCACCTTGTTAATCACGCCACTCCACGCGCTGGTGCGACCTGTAATTTCATCATCACTAAGATGAGCGGACAGACGTACTGTACTATAATTAGGAGGGCATGTTCTATGAACATATTCTTTGAAATTCCGACATTGCATCGCGCGTGCACGTACACACACAACACATGTACATATGTACTGTCATGATATACATAACAACATAAATAGCATCATAAATAAACTTCTGACATCATCTTCATCATCATCAGCAGCAAAACAGCCCTTCTTGAGCCAGAGTCTTCCTTAGAAGTTTCTGCCAGATTTGTCCATTCCTGGGAATTAAGACTATCTGATTCCCACTTCCTTGGATTTTGCAACAATAATTTTTTTACAGAGCAAGGTTGTAGCCTTACATCATAAAACTTCCCACATATTTAATAAAATATACACTGAATCAATACAAATCAAAATTAAATTCACTTGACAACATTCAGCGTGTATCTCCAATAACTAATTTAATGAAAATCCTGGATAGTTTTGAGACAACATGGGCCAAAGCAGACATGATCTCATTGCATGTTCAACTTTGGATATGCATTAAAGCTTTAACCTTCAGACCACTGGTTTCACAGATCAGAGCTAACAATACATATGCTTCCTTGAATTTGAGGTGAAAAGGAGAAAACACTATGAGAGAGCCATATTACCCACCTAAAATATTATTTGCAAACCAAAAACACACACTTAACACAGTATTTCCTAAGTGATTGTAAAATGACCCTTGCTTTCTCAGATGCCCAAGTGGGAAACAGACGCACCTTGTATTCAGGTAAACATGTTATTACTTCAAGATCCCTTTCAATATTTATACACGATAATGTATATAACTAATTCCGTGGTTTTGGTCTGCAAGCGAACTAAACGGACTGAGCAACCACCATTTTTCAGTGAAGTTAGTGCCAACTTTAGCGGACAGAGGGTGTC